TTCACTAAGTGTAAATATGTTATAGTACTCTTCTGCTTTTAAAGGCATATTTGCTAGATTAATTAATGTGCTCAACTTTCACTTCGTTTAAGGGGTACCATGGGTTGAATAACTTGCCCAAGGTTTGCGAGTGTATCAAGTGAGAAGTGAATTCGAACTAACCATATCGTGGCTGGCGATCATTCCACTACGGAACCACAAACGTACGCTCGCCTTTCGTGAGATTCTTAAACACCACTGCTTTACGCTCCCAGTGAAACATAGGGCCACATCAAGCTAGAGGCTTGAAGTTTTGGTACCAGTGGTGTTTGTTTTTTTAGGGATCGGGTTGCTGGCCTCATAACCAAACTCCCCTCTTTACAAGTCTGATTACTGGCCCAGTGAGGTAAATCAGTGCGTCGGCCGAGGATCGAACCCTGGGGAGATATACTTGGTTGGTTGGTGAGCATTCTACTACCTGACCACCGATGCTCACATACTCTGTAAAATAAATGTATATCACTCTAAGATTAGTGTACGCCATATCATATAGTTTGTAGATCTCGCTTTCGATAACATGTCAATCATAGTTCAAAAAAATTTATTATTAAGACTTCCAATGTATATGTAAAATATTTAATAAAGTATAAATACCCTTACGATCCCAGACAATTAAATTAAATAACAAAAATCTCATCATCATCATCATTAAAAACAGTATGAGTAATAATTGTTAATTTTCTCAACTGTTCTTCCTACATCAAATAGATTTTCCTATCCTTTACTTTCCTTTCAAGATCATTCACCTTTATTGCACACGCTATGGAAAAAAAATACGTGTGCAACAGATTTATATGTCAGTCAAAAACTAACTACTGCTTTGCTTAAATGATGCAGAAAGCTTAATAAATACCACTGTATTGGTTTTTTGTAGGGATTTTGTTTGATTGCATGGAGGATTTAATCATGAGCTGACATCAGTTAGAGAACCACTGGAAAACCTGGGAGTACTGGACAGCTGTTTCGTCCTAGTTTGGGACTCCTCAGCAGTACGCACCCACCGGGATTCGAACCCAGGACCTTCTGGTTACAAGGCGAGCTCGTAGACCATTGAGCCACTGGGACCCGATCCAATGGTCCTTGAATTCTAACTTCTGCCAGTTCACGACTGGCCCTATTCAGGCAGTTAACCTGGGGTTCTAGTGGGAAGCCGTGACCAGTAGGGTACAGCAGGTCGAAGATGAGGCAGTAACTAATCGAAGAAGACATTGCGAAGTGGTCGCGCTATGTCGTGAATTTGCAGAAGTTAGCATTCAAGAACCATTGAATCGGGTCCCAGTGGCTCAATGGTCTACGAGCTTGCCTTGTAACCAGAAGGTCCTGGGTTCGAACTGTGGTGGTGGGTGCGTACTGCTGAAGAGCCCCAAACTAGGATGAAACATCTTCCAGTACTCCCAGATTTTCCAGTGGTTCTCTAACTGATGTCAGCTCATGATTAAATCCTCCACGAAATACCACTGTGTAAAGTGTTTCATTGAAGGAAATATTTTCGAACCGGACTGGGTTGTTTTGTAAAATGACGAAAATATTCATTCAGACAATTAGAAGACAAAACGAAATTTGAGCAAAAGAATAGTCTTTCCGATAATTTCCTCTTCCCGCAATACAATTATATATATATATATATATATATATATATATATATATATATATATATATACATAGTGCCATCAACAATTATACATCCCATCCAACACTTGTACGAGAATGCTGCATGCCAAGTAATCCACAACGGGAAACTTAGGGAATCCTTCGAAGTAAAGACGAGAGTGAGGTAAGGCTGTCTACTATCACCAATGATTTTCCTGATTGCAGTAGATTGGATAATGCGACAGACAGATAGCGGGCTATGAGGAAACAGGCACAAAATGGACTCACACAAAAAACTTAGAGGATCTGGACTTCGCCGATGATGTATATCTGATTTCCCACAAGCTGGAAGATATGCAAGTGAAAAGTAACAAGCTGTCAGCAGAAGATTCAAAGATAGGACTTCAGGTGAACATAGCGAAAACATAGGTGATGAAGATTTCTGGTCAACGGCAACAACAATAACAGCAGAAATCCAACATAAATGGGAGGAACCTGAAAGAAACAACCTCCTTTACCTACCTAGCTAACTAACTACATGGGAAGCATCCTTCCAACTGCAGGCCAGCAGAACCGACGAGGATATCAAAGAAGGAATGAGAAAAGCAAGGAAAGCTTTCATTACTCTTAAGTCTGTGTGGAGGTCAACAGAACTACTCAGCATGAAAAAATAAGATCCGGATTTTCAACTCCAATGTGAAGTCAGTACCACTTACTATATGGATCAGAGACTTGCACTGACCGTCATAAAGAGCATCTCAAACAAACTACAGACATTCATCAACAGCTGTCTTCTCTCTATACTCAAGATCAGATGGTCGGCCAGAACAGATTAGCAACAAGGATATCTGGGAGCAAACGTACCAACCAGGAACCGAACGTGCAACAAATAAGCAGAAAGAAATGGAGATGGATTGGCTGGCCATAGTCTGAGGAAACAAACCATCAAGTGGCATCACTAGACAAGCCATCGCTCGAGTGGAACCCGAACGGGAAGCGGCGAGTTGGTCGTCAGTGCAAGGGTGACATGAACGAGGCGGTGATGTGTAGAGGAGATGAAAGCATGTGGGCAGACTTGGTGCTAGGTGAAAACCCTAGCAGACGACCGAACGCAATGGAGACGTGCGCCTGAATCCCTATGTTCCTCTAGGAATTAAAGGAAATGATAATAATTAGTTATTTACAATTGTAAAAATGTATGCAGATAACATTTTCGTCATTTGCGATAACAGTTACTACCCCGATCGATTTCCGCAGGCATTTGGCAACTGTCATCCAGCAATGAAATTCACATTTGAAACAGAAGACGAATCCGAAATTCCCTTCCCAAATATGAAACTAACATGAAAGCCAGACGGATCTTTATTCAGTTCAGTTCACGGTAAACTTGGCACGTATTTTATGTGATGAAAATAGTGTCAGGAAAGAATTAACTAACCTTTTTTCATCTAGTAAATAAACAATATCCTCCATCCAACCATCCTTATATACCTCCTTCAAGTTTTACTTTTATTATTTCTATCATATTTATGGTCCTGTTGCTTCTTTGTTTTAATCTCATAATTGCAAACACCAACTTATCTCTATGACTGCTTTAATCATTGTTTTTCCCCCTCACCATATCATGTAAAGAGAAGATTATATTCAATAATTTTGAACATGCTAGGATTTCTATACCGCATTGACAATACTGTGTGAAACAAGCACATGGCAATTTTCACTTGTATCATTATTATTACCTTAGCTGTTATCATTATTATAATTATTTCCATTTTATATGCTGCATGTTTTTGACATTACTTCTATTGTAAATGTGGAAAGTTTTCTGTGGGATTATTTTTATTTATAATTTGAGTAAATTAGATGCAATATTGCGATAAATGCTGAATATTCCATTCTGTATCACAAGTACTGTTTATGGAATAAAGTAAATCATTATTATTATTATTATTATTATTATTATTATTATTATTAAACCCATTTGGAATAGTCAACCAACAAGTTTCTACAGTTGGATTTTGTTAAACGAGGGTGAAGTCTAATTAAATCCCTATAAACCTCACTCACTAGAAGCAAAACTAGATATTCTCAAAGAAACCTTCCTCGAAAATGGATATCGACTGAGACTCATTGAAAACAATACCAAACTGAAAGTTCAGAGAAACAAAACATCACTTATTCAAAAAGAGAAATTCTACAGAAGCCTGAATTTAAAGTAAAAAGTAGTAGTAGTAGTAGTAGTAGTAGTAGTAGTAGTAGTAGTAGTAGTAGTAGTAGTAGTAGTAGTAGTAGTAGTAGTAGTAGTAGTAGTGTAACAACAGAAGACAAGGGCCAGGCAACAGATCGTTTTATTATGAAAATCAACACGTATTTATACATATTTCAGACAACATTATTATAGACAAGCGCAGTCATCTGATTGGTTGTTTAGGTAGACAAACGCAGGCTTCTGATTGGTTGTTTCGGGATTCCTTGACAAACAGAGTTCTCTATCTGCGAATCATATTTTGCCACGTTAACTTCGCTGTGATTGGTTGTTGACTCAGCCTTGTTCACGGCCCATATTAGTGACCTAGACCTTAACGTAGATTAGTGCCAACCAATCGGCTAGCAGCCTGCTCTCACCACACTCGTCCCCCCGTCAAATATGTGCGACTGAAGTCGGCTTGATCTACTTGGTGCAGGCGTCATCGTTGGCTTGTCTCGCTGTATCCATTTCTGGAGCTCGCTGACGTTCACGCGCCTCTTATTGTTCGCCATTGCGACTGTGTCTGCGTAACCCCATCTCGAAGTGACCATATATGGTCCTTCCCACTTTGGAAACTGTTTGCCTGACCCTGTCGAACATTCGTCCATACTTCGGCCCACACCTTCATATGCTGCTTTCGCCCGACCTCCCAGCAGCGTCTCAAGTAGCAGCTCCATCGCTGACAGATCTTGAACGCCACTCAACTGCGCAGAAGCCTTGAAGTCCTGCCCGAAGATCCATATGTCTCCATCAAAAACTGCAGGGTATAGGCTTTTCATTTGTCGGTAGGCAGCGACACCAAATGTAACAACAGAAGACAAGGGCCAGGCAACAGATCGTTTTATTATGAAAATCAACACGTATTTATACATATTTCAGACAACATTATTATAGACAAGCGCAGTCATCTGATTGGTTGTTTAGGTAGACAAACGCAGGCTTCTGATTGGTTGTTTCGGGATTCCTTGACAAACAGAGTTCTCTATCTGCGAATCATATTTTGCCACGTTAACTTCGCTGTGATTGGTTGTTGACTCAGCCTTGTTCACGGCCCATATTAGTGACCTAGACCTTAACGTAGATTAGTGCCAACCAATCGGCTAGCAGCCTGCTCTCACCACAGTAGTAGTAGTAGTAGTAGTAGTAGTAGTAGTAGTAGTAGTAGTAGTAGTAGTAGTAGTAGTAGTAGTAGTAGTAGTAGTAGTAGTAGTAGTAGTAGTAGTAGTAGTAGTAGTAGTAGTAGTAGTAGTAGTAGTAGTAGTAGTAGTAGTAGTAGTAGTAGTAGTAGTAGTAGTAGTAGTAGTAGTAGTAGTAGTAGTAGTAGTAGTAGTAGTAGTAGTAGTAGTAGTAGTAGTAGTAGTAGTAGTAGTAGTAGTAGTAGTAGTAGTAGTAGTAGTAGTAGTAGTAGTAGTAGTAGTAGTAGTAGTAGTAGTAGTAGTAGTAGTAGTAGTAGTAGTAGTAGTAGTAGTAGTAGTAGTAGTAGTAGTAGTAGTAGTAGTAGTAGTAGTAGTAGTAGTAGTAGTAGTAGTAGTAGTAGTAGTAGTAGTAGTAGTAGTAGTAGTAGTAGTAGTAGTAGTAGTAGTAGTAGTAGTAGTAGTAGTAGTAGTAGTAGTAGTAGTAGTAGTAGTAGTAGTAGTAGTAGTAGTAGTAGTAGTAGTAGTAGTAGTAGTAGTAGTAGTAGTAGTAGTAGTAGTAGTAGTAGTAGTAGTAGTAGTAGTAGTAGTAGTAGTAGTAGTAGTAGTAGTAGTAGTAGTAGTAGTAGTAGTAGTAGTAGTAGTAGTAGTAGTAGTAGTAGTAGTAGTAGTAGTAGTAGTAGTAGTAGTAGTAGTAGTAGTAGTAGTAGTAGTAGTAGTAGTAGTAGTAGTAGTAGTAGTAGTAGTAGTAGTAGTAGTAGTAGTAGTAGTAGTAGTAGTAGTAGTAGTAGTAGTAGTAGTAGTAGTAGTAGTAGTAGTAGTAGTAGTAGTAGTAGTAGTAGTAGTATAGTAGTAGTAGTAGTAGTAGTAGTAGTAGTAGTAGTAGTAGTAGTAGTAGTAGTAGTAGTAGTAGTAGTAGTAGTAGTAGTAGTAGTAGTAGTAGTAGTAGTAGTAGTAGTAGTAGTAGTAGTAGTAGTAGTAGTAGTAGTAGTAGTAGTAGTAGTAGTAGTAGTAGTAGTAGTAGTAGTAGTAGTAGTAGTAGTAGTAGTAGTAGTAGTAGTAGTAGTAGTAGTAGTAGTAGTAGTAGTAGTAGTAGTAGTAGTAGTAGTAGTAGTAGTAGTAGTAGTAGTAGTAGTAGTAGTAGTAGTAGTAGTAGTAGTAGTAGTAGTAGTAGTAGTAGTAGTAGTAGTAGTAGTAGTAGTAGTAGTAGTAGTAGTAGTAGTAGTAGTAGTAGTAGTAGTAGTAGTAGTAGTAGTAGTAGTAGTAGTAGTAGTAGTAGTAGTAGTAGTAGTAGTAGTATAGTAGTAGTAGTAGTAGTAGTAGTAGTAGTAGTAGTAGTAGTAGTAGTAGTAGTAGTAGTAGTAGTAGTAGTAGTAGTAGTAGTAGTAGTAGTAGTAGTAGTAGTAGTAGTAGTAGTAGTAGTAGTAGTAGTAGTAGTAGTAGTAGTAGTAGTAGTAGTAGTAGTAGTAGTAGTAGTAGTAGTAGTAGTAGTAGTAGTAGTAGTAGTAGTAGTAGTAGTAGTAGTAGTAGTAGTAGTAGTAGTAGTAGTAGTAGTAGTAGTAGTAGTAGTAGTAGTAGTAGTAGTAGTAGTAGTAGTAGTAGTAGTAGTAGTAGTAGTAGTAGTAGTAGTAGTAGTAGTAGTAGTAGTAGTAGTAGTAGTAGTAGTAGTAGTAGTAGTAGTAGTAGTAGTAGTAGTAGTAGTAGTAGTAGTAGTAGTAGTAGTAGTAGTAGTAGTAGTAGTAGTAGTAGTAGTAGTAGTAGTAGTAGTAGTAGTAGTAGTAGTAGTAGTAGTAGTAGTAGTAGTAGTAGTAGTAGTAGTAGTAGTAGTAGTAGTAGTAGTAGTAGTAGTAGTAGTAGTAGTAGTAGTAGTAGTAGTATAGTAGTAGTAGTAGTAGTAGTAGTAGTATAGTAGTAGTAGTAGTAGTAGTAGTAGTAGTAGTAGTAGTAGTAGTAGTAGTAGTAGTAGTAGTAGTAGTAGTAGTAGTAGTAGTAGTAGTAGTAGTAGTAGTAGTAGTAGTAGTAGTAGTAGTAGTAGTAGTAGTAGTAGTAGTAGTAGTAGTAGTAGTAGTAGTATAGTAGTAGTAGTAGTAGTAGTAGTAGTAGTAGTAGTAGTAGTAGTAGTAGTAGTAGTAGTAGTAGTAGTAGTATAGTAGTAGTAGTAGTAGTAGTAGTAGTAGTAGTAGTAGTAGTAGTAGTAGTAGTAGTAGTAGTAGTAGTAGTAGTAGTAGTAGTAGTAGTAGTAGTAGTAGTAGTAGTAGTAGTAGTAGTAGTAGTAGTAGTAGTAGTAGTAGTAGTAGTAGTAGTAGTAGTAGTAGTAGTAGTAGTAGTAGTAGTAGTAGTAGTAGTAGTAGTATAGTAGTAGTAGTAGTAGTAGTAGTAGTAGTAGTAGTAGTAGTAGTAGTAGTAGTAGTAGTAGTAGTAGTAGTAGTAGTAGTAGTAGTAGTAGTAGTAGTAGTAGTAGTAGTAGTAGTAGTAGTAGTAGTAGTAGTAGTAGTAGTAGTAGTAGTAGTAGTAGTAGTAGTAGTAGTAGTAGTAGTAGTAGTAGTAGTAGTAGTAGTAGTAGTAGTAGTAGTAGTAGTAGTAGTAGTAGTAGTAGTAGTAGTAGTAGTAGTAGTAGTAGTAGTAGTAGTAGTAGTAGTAGTAGTAGTAGTAGTAGTAGTAGTAGTAGTAGTAGTAGTAGTAGTAGTAGTAGTAGTAGTAGTAGTAGTAGTAGTAGTAGTAGTAGTAGTAGTAGTAGTAGTAGTAGTAGTAGTAGTAGTAGTAGTAGTAGTAGTAGTAGTAGTAGTAGTAGTAGTAGTAGTAGTAGTAGTAGTAGTAGTAGTAGTAGTAGTAGTAGTAGTAGTAGTAGTAGTAGTAGTAGTAGTAGTAGTAGTAGTAGTAGTAGTAGTAGTAGTAGTAGTAGTAGTAGTAGTAGTAGTAGTAGTAGTAGTAGTAGTAGTAGTAGTAGTAGTAGTAGTAGTAGTAGTAGTAGTAGTAGTATAGTAGTAGTAGTAGTAGTAGTAGTAGTAGTAGTAGTAGTAGTAGTAGTAGTAGTAGTAGTAGTAGTAGTAGTAGTAGTAGTAGTAGTAGTAGTAGTAGTAGTAGTAGTAGTAGTAGTAGTAGTAGTAGTAGTAGTAGTAGTAGTAGTAGTAGTAGTAGTAGTAGTAGTAGTAGTAGTAGTAGTAGTAGTAGTAGTAGTAGTAGTAGTAGTAGTAGTAGTAGTAGTAGTAGTAGTAGTAGTAGTAGTAGTAGTAGTAGTAGTAGTAGTAGTAGTAGTAGTAGTAGTAGTAGTAGTAGTAGTAGTAGTAGTAGTAGTAGTAGTAGTAGTAGTAGTAGTAGTAGTAGTAGTAGTAGTAGTAGTAGTAGTAGTAGTAGTAGTAGTAGTAGTAGTAGTAGTAGTAGTAGTAGTAGTAGTAGTAGTAGTAGTAGTAGTAGTATAGTAGTAGTAGTAGTAGTAGTAGTAGTAGTAGTATAGTAGTAGTAGTAGTAGTAGTAGTAGTAGTAGTAGTAGTAGTAGTAGTAGTAGTAGTAGTAGTAGTAGTAGTAGTAGTAGTAGTAGTAGTAGTAGTAGTAGTAGTAGTAGTAGTAGTAGTAGTAGTAGTAGTAGTAGTAGTAGTAGTAGTAGTAGTAGTAGTAGTAGTAGTAGTAGTAGTAGTAGTAGTAGTAGTAGTAGTAGTAGTAGTAGTAGTAGTAGTAGTAGTAGTAGTAGTAGTAGTAGTAGTAGTAGTAGTAGTAGTAGTAGTAGTAGTAGTAGTAGTAGTAGTAGTAGTAGTAGTAGTAGTAGTAGTAGTAGTAGTAGTAGTAGTAGTAGTAGTAGTAGTAGTAGTAGTAGTAGTAGTAGTAGTAGTAGTAGTAGTAGTAGTAGTAGTAGTAGTAGTAGTAGTAGTAGTAGTAGTAGTAGTAGTAGTAGTAGTAGTAGTAGTAGTAGTAGTAGTAGTAGTAGTAGTAGTAGTAGTAGTAGTAGTAGTAGTAGTAGTAGTAGTAGTAGTAGTAGTAGTAGTAGTAGTAGTAGTAGTAGTAGTAGTAGTAGTAGTAGTAGTAGTAGTAGTAGTAGTAGTAGTAGTAGTAGTAGTAGTAGTAGTAGTAGTAGTAGTAGTAGTGGATCTAATAGTAGTGAGAAAATCAATCACGTTTTCAACACTGGTCATTATTCCACCTCAGCAGAACGCCTCATTCAGAGTAATCTACAAAAAGTGAAGAAGAACCTGACAAAGACTATTTGCGTTCATCTTCTTTGCATTCCTGAAGCCTTAGTTATTCATCTAAAACTTAGGAGGTATGCAAATAAAAGAAAAATATTCCACCATTCCTCTTGTCATGGTAACAACCTTGTTGATTTCTACTGACTTCATTTTTGTTGGTTTGTTTGTTAATTTGTTTTTATAATTCCTTATAGCTCTAGTGTTTCTTTCGAATGCCTATATACTTCCATTTTTTCCTTTGTTTCTATGTGCATCGTGATTATAAATCATTAAGTTATTCATCTTATTACGTAACTCCAATACACTTATTCAATTTCCTTTATGCATTGACTAACAACTATGTTTGTGACAACTCATCACTTTTAGTTACTACCATCTTTCATGAGAACCGGAGATTGTATATAAATGCGATTTCACAGCTGAGCAGGGCAATGAATTCGCCGAGAGGAGTCTCTTCGCTGAAATAAGTGTTTTGTTTTCATTACTCTAAATGACCCCTGTCTACTAATTTTGTAACAAAAGAAGACAAGGGCCAGGCAACAGATCGTTTATTTAGGAAATCAACACGTATTTACAGCTATTCATGTACATTATTGTAGATTATAGTTAGCAGAAAAACACAGTCTTCTCATTGGTTTTTTCTCACAGAAGGTTAACCTTGCATCTCTTTGCGGCTGTTTCTTGAATATCAGATCATCTATATGTGAACTGTCTCCGCCTACACAAAATCTGCTGTGGTTGGTTGTTGAATCAGTATTTGTTCGTATTTTTCTCACGACCAATATTGAGGATGTAAACATTGACGTAAATTACTGTCTACCACTTTTGGCTAGCATACCACACTCTTTCCCCCGTCAAAGACTTGCAACTGAAGTTGGTTTGGTCTTCTTGCTTCTCGGGGCTTTCTTCGTTTGTGTTGCTGTCGGGAATCTCGGCGCTCGCTGATGTTCACCTGTTTTTTTGTTTACCATAGCGATTATGTCTACGTAATCCAATCTCAACGTGACCATATGTGGTTCTTCCCACTGTGGAAACTGTTTACCTGACCCTGTCCCACATTCCTCGGTATTTCGCCTCACACTTTCATATGCTGCTTTTGCACGACCTTCCAGCAGCGTCCCAAGTAGCAGCCTCATCGCTAACAGATCTTGGACGTCAATCAAATGCGCAGAAGCCTCGAAGTCCTGCCCGAAGATCTGTGTCTCCATTAAAAACTGCAGGGCATAGGCTTTCAATTTGTGAGTAGGCAGTGACACCACAATTTGACCTATGTAATTAATAAATCATGCTCTTTTTCTTAATTGAACCTATTGGATCAGTATGGTGACAAAGTTTTTCTCTGATTGAACTGGTCAATCTAAAAATAACAGTTTAAATTCCAGCTTTATACAAAAATCTCACGAAAGGACTTCTTTATACGATAGCATTACCAAAGCCTTGAATTTCCTTACTGCTTTTATTCTCTAGTGGAAAGCTCTATGGCATTGTAAACAAAGGGTACTGGTTTCAAGTCCCAACCGATAGCTGCTACTCTGATGTGATGGTTAGGATCGCATATCACAATGACCCAACAAGCCAATGTTCCTGTAGGTCCCACCGTGGCAGGAAAATTGTTAAGATAGCGATTAGACTAAAATTAATTACCGGAGTAGTGTAAGACCTTTTTTACAC